AAAAAAAAAAAAAAAGCACACAGCACATACCAAAAAAGCCACCCATCAAGTAGCCTCAGCAACAGGAAAATGCAACTTGGTGACCGACTCCTTCAGAAAAACTACTCCCACAAAAGGGGTCCGGGCCCCCGACATTATAATCCAAACCTGCCAACCGGGCCTTGCCCAAAACAACTCCACCCCCCATATGAAAAGGCTGCTTCAGCTTACCATTACTACTACTTTTGCTGGTGCTTCCAGAAAAACTCTTCCGGGCCTGCTTCTTGTCCTTGCTCTTGCCGCCTCGTGAGGATTTGCCGCTGCTTCTCTGCTTGTACTTTCCCGACTTTTTGCTACTGTTGCGGTAACTTTGGTTCTTGTCGGTCGGGACGTGTGAGACTGAAGTAGGGATTGGATCATACACGTCGGGAGCCCACGTTACGGATAGATTCTTGGGTGATGTACCCTCTCGTTTTTCACGGCTTCCTTTTAGAGAAGATATGAGCTTCAGAGGTACCTGAGAGAGGTTATTTCATCGAGGGGGAGAATTATTCACAAAATCCAGTTATAAACTGTTCATAACAGGATAATATGAGGGTGAGAAAGATGAACCGGTGTTTTTAACAAGTAAATGCACGAGCTGGTTTGAACTTTGAAGGCAAAATATATATATTAAAATACTTTTCCAAGTCTTCGCCTGCACGCAGACGAGACTTCAAATCGCATGAGTTAAGACTGATAAAACTAATTAAATTAGTAATATACACAAATCTGACATGTGGATTGTTCCTTGTTTGTTACTTTCATGTATTGGGGGGAATACTCTCCAATGCATTGAACCTGAGGTATAAAGGAAAAAAAGAGGCAGCCTCAAGCAAAAAAATGGTTACCTCCAAGTGGGGAGCAAAAAGCAAGAATGTTGTTTTCCCAGCGAGGAGGTAGTAGTCCCCAGTCACTCAGACTTAAGAAGAGCATAGAATAAAACAAATTGGGAATTTTCATAAAGCAAATAATAGATAATAGCAGCTGTACAATTACACTACTGTAAGTAGTTTTGGAAAATTTGTTGTGCACTGTAATCGACAGTCTTCACATTAAAAAGTTACAAGAACTTACAGGCAAGGATGTGGATCGTGCATAGCATGCAGGTTTTGCAGAGCAGTTTCCATCAGATGCTTCAACAGTTGTATCTCCCTCGTGCTTTCCTTTCTCACCCACTGTAACATCTCCAGTAGATTTAGGTTCATGGACAGGCGGAAATGAGGCGCATTTGCTTAAGCATTTTCCAGCTGACAAACTGCCAAAGACACTCTTGCCCAAGTCTTCGCTATCAGATTCTCTTCCCACATCTCGGATACAATTCTTTTCAGGAGAAAGATGACAGCCACTGGTTGATATTCTGGTCTCGTCAATGTTCGAAAGCTCGGCCAAACACGTTTTGAGGTCACACATAGATAGATTTTCCGAGTCGTTATGGATTAGATCGTGTGGATAGGCTGTTAAAGACCCACAGCTACTATCCAGGTAATGTGATGTATTACCAGGAACAGACACTTCCATCTACTAGAAGAACAACTGAAAGAGAAAGCAATAAATGTAAAAGTTCAAAGCTCAAGAACTCAAATATATCGTCGTGTAAAATTCATTCATATTACAACAGACCTCGCGGAAATAAATAAGCAACAGTCTCTCAATTAGAGAATCACTCGCATGGTCCAATTCAAATATATAACAAGGTAAATCCAAGATAAAGTGGACAAAGCGAGAGAGGATTGAAAATTATGACATATTATTAGAATTTAGAAACAACATAAAAGTACTTAGAATTGGCATGAATAACCTTCGATTTAGTGGCTGATTATTTACCTCCACATAACGAATAATCCGACCCCGCTTCTTAAAACTATATGTGCATAATGGAAACAAATCAGCACAACTGACAGCTTGGACTACAAAGAGTACAAATATGGTTGCATTCATAACCATGTTTCACCTTTAATTTACATCTAAATTTGTCGAATAAGTTAAACACATTTACATCTTTGATTTCGCCATCAAAATTTATAAATAAATTTCACTAAGACGACAATATGGGTACACCGTGCATTCACAAGAACAGGTCCACAAATCCTTTTCTATTTTCACCATTCATCGATTCATAAACATCCAATCAATCCTAACTAACAATCTTATCATTCGTCACACAAAAGTAACAAATTACTTTCTCCAAACAAGATATGCAACAAATATTCGGAATCATATAAGAAATCAAGCTAGGAGAACTACACAAAAATAGATAAATCTACAAGCACAAGCACAAAAAAGGGCCATAATACCTTAATTGATCCAAGCGCCCTCGCAACAAACAACAATTTGCTCGAGACAATATCCCAACGAAAAAGAACTCGTAGATCCAACAGCTGAGAAAGCTCAAATTTCCACAACAAAATGTTATATCGGCTGCCAAACTGAAGTTGTCAGAACACGCAACCAATACACCTCGCCGGAAATTGACAACAACACCGTAGAAGAAAAAACCTCGATCTATACGAAATCGATGCTAAAACCAGCTAAAAAAACAACGGCAGGCCGTTAACTACTAAGATTACCACGCCGATCGCTTTTCTGAAGATGTTTCAGGCGATGAAAAGACGAGCCGCCATAGAAGGAGCTGACGTGCGGACGCGCGCTGAGAAGAAGGTCGTTGGAAGGCACCGAATGCATCGTTCGATGCTCTTCGGTTTACAATTCTCCAATTTTTTTTTTTGATTTTCCGGATCTTGCTACAGAGTCAAAACTATGTACAAAAAAAAAAAAGAGAGAGAAAAATAATTACAGTGAGATTGTATTTTTTCCGGCGAGGTCAGATCAGCTCCTATCAGCTCAGATCGACATATGAATTAGGGAGACGATTGGAATCGGAAAAGAGGGAACCCTAGCAGAAGCGTGTGATTTTGCGGAGGATAGGATGAATGGATAATGGAAATTTGAGCTATACGTACATGTAATATAATAACTATATATAGTGTGTGTCAACATTTGTATGTATAAGCTATAGATATACATAGATTCACTTTATGTGACCATGCTGAAAACTAGTTTATATGATATAAATATTTAGTATAATTAGCAGATAAATTAGTTGAAATAATAAATTCGACTAGCTTATTTAAAAAACTGCGTAAAGAAAATTAAGCTCGAACTTTTTACAAAAATTATCCTATCAAACGAGGTTTATAGCATATAGCTGAAAAGTTATATTATATGATAAAATATTTGGTAAAATTAGCTAAAAAAGCTAACTGAAATAAAAATTTCAACGAGCTTATTTGAAAAGCTACCCAAATAAGTTTATCAGATAAATTCTAGTTTTTTTAAAAAGTTAGTCCTACCAAATGAAACTTTATTTGAATACAAGAAACTTACTAGTACAACACCCGTGTATTACACGGGTGCTTGTTAAAGAATTATTTTTAAATTTTAAAATTAATGAGAAAACTATATTAAATTTAGTTTACTTTTTTACAAAAAAAAAAAATATTACTATATCTTTTAGAATGATATGTGTTACTTATGACATACATGTGTTATATTATATTAATTTTTATAACTTATATCATATAACTACTTGAAATATAAATATATTAGTTGATAAAAATTTAATTTTTCTAATAATATTAAAAATAATTTTATTATTGTTATAAAGATAAATATAAATTATTTTTTTATACATACAATATGTATGTTAAATCGAATCTCATCAAAAGAAGATTAATTTGATATATTACATATGTAAAACTGATAAAAAATACAAAAGTTATTAACTTTTAAAATATATATACAGTTCAATAGTTATAATAAGGAATGATATTAAAATACAATTAATACATGTAACATGACCATAAATAATGAACATATTTATGGTAATCCGAACCTAATTATTTTTTGTTTGGAATTAAATTAAAATTTACTCAAGCCTAATAACGAAGCATGTAATTTTGCCACATAAGATTCTGAAGCACCAGAAACAGCCACGTAGGCTCAGCGCATTATGTATTAATATATAAGGGGGATATGTTAATCAAATAAGTTATAAGCTAACTTATTTGTCTACCAAACATTGGCTTATTAAAAGAAAGTGTTAATTTAGTCATTTTATATTTGTTTAACGGAAATTATTGTGTGAATCAATTTAATAAGAATATAAATTGATGATAGCATTATGCGTTTGTTTATATTATTTTTAGAATATGATATTTTAATTCCACTTATTATAAATGACTAATCTCTCCTCGATTAGTCACCAGAAGAGAGTTTTACATGGGGAGGCGTGTCATCTCCCTGTACCCTTAACTGACTCATAGTCATTATTGTTTGCCTACTTTTTCAATGTATAAATTGAACCCTTGAGGTTCATAACGATACATGAAAAAATGAGAAGAAAAATCCCTCAATATAATATTCTCGTTGCTTATTTAATTGTGCTGATGTCTTATCCATGATTAACGATTTCCCTAATTTTATTTTATTTTTAGTACAGGGATCTTCCAGTTTTTAGATTCACAGGTGAACCGACTAATCTGAAATCGAGCCGGGTAGGACCACAAGGGCGGCAAAGCTCTCGCTCAAGAGTTTTTAACACTGCTGCATTCTCAGGGCTCGAACACGAGACCACTGGTTAAGCTGAAATAGACCCAAGTCATCTCATCCAAACGCTCTTGGGTCAACGATTTCCCTAAACTTTGAATAATAGTTGTCTCTAACCTACCTAATTATGCTATTAGCCCAACCCATTATTGTGGTTGGCATAGACAACATAACATATTTATAAAATTGTTATCATATTTCAGTCGATGGACTAACCACAAACTAATTGGGTTTAACGAAATAGTAAGCCCCTTAAAATTGCATAAATAATTGTTGTTGCTATAACAATAATAATAATATTTTTAACTAACTAATTGATTACGATCCCCTTAAATTTGCAAGTTACCTTACTCATTATACTTTATATCATCTATATAATGATTCATACATGGGAAATTTACATACTTAGACTCCATGTAGGAGTTATTTTTACATTTACGATCAGTTAAAATATTTATCAAGATGGGATTTGATGGAGTTTTTATTTTCACAATTACGATATGTCTCTTTTGACCAAATCTGTTTCTCTTTTCAAAATAAAATCATGTCATTAATATGCTCATTCTTCTCTTTCCAATAAATTCGTTCTCTCTCCAAAATAAAAATCATGCCATTGATGCAATCAAAATCGAAAAAAAAAATCACAACAAACATAATAGCTATAAATTTGGGCTGCACAAACTCAAAAATTCAAACGGATTTACAGTACATCGACGTCTTGCAGTTGAAAAAAAAAAATCATCGATCTAGCATTGAAAAAAACACAGTCATGATTAGATATACTCTGTACTAGTATTGATACCCGTGCGAAGCACGGGATACATTAAAAAAAATATTTTTTATTTAAATATTATAAAATCATTTAAGACAATATGAAATTGTATTTTCCAAAATACTCTATCTAGTAATGATATGACATTTATTTATTTAATATTACATATATTGTATATTTTGACTATATAATATATAAATTTTATTATTTTTAAGTTTATAAAATATTGTAAATGTATAAGATTATATGAAATTTTGCATACAAATTACTTGTATGTACTTATAAAATTGTCATTTATCGTATTCTTATATTTTTTTCAACAATTCATAATTTGCGTATTGCGTGATAATTGACCAATGTTTAACCCATAATATTTATCTTCTGCTATAATTATTAAATGCATTAAATTTTAAGAACTTTGATAGATAAAATTTTAATTTTTAGTAACTTTAATCGTTATGCAACACACAAATTTTTAATGGTATTTTATTTTCGTGTTTTTTTTATTTATATTTATTTCTTGAATTCACTTTTTCAATATGTATAATGTGTTACAGAGTATCTATTCGAATATTTAGATATATTATGCATTTTCATAATTACCAAGTGCTATAATTTAAACTTTTATACGTTGCTATTTGATTAACTTTTTTACGTTTATAAAATAGTATATAAGAAAAAAAACATGTAATTTAAAAACTGAATAATTTTTTAATGTACATAGATACTTTTAAGGTGAAATTAATAATTCTGAATTGCCCAACCATCAAATTTTATTTTTATCAGTATATTATTTAAATTTTAAATAGTATTATCACTGGATATGATATGTTCAATGGGGATGTACCTTTTTATAATTAAATTGACTACATTTCAGAAAATTTTATTAATATTTTTAATTATTTATTAAGTTAATATGATTTAAACATAGTTATTTTAATTATTTTATTAAATATTTTAAGTACATCTGAATAGTGAATATAATTAATTAAATTAATATCTACAACGGTATATGATAATATGTTTAATTAAATCAATTTTCTTAATAATTTTTTGAATTGTGTCAATAAATTACTATTAAATTAATATAAGATCTTATTAAAAATATATCTAATAATTCTACGGTCAAAATTCATTTTAA